CCCTCCCTCCTTTCTTCCTTCCTTCCCTCCCTCCCTCCTTTCTTCCCTCCTTCCCTCTCTCCCTCCTTTCTTCCCTCCTTCCCTCCCTCCCTCCCTCTTTCCCTTCCTTCCCTCCCTCCCTTCCTTCCTTCCCTCCCTCTCTCTCTCTCTTTCTTTCTTTCTTTCTTTTTTCTTTTTCTTTCTCTCTTTCTCCCTCCCTCCCTCCCTTCCTTCCTTCCCTCCCTCCTTCCCTTCCTTCCTTCCCTCCCTCCTTTCTTCCTTCCTTCCCTCCTTTCTTCCTTCCTTCCCTCCCTCCCTCCCTTTCTGTCTCTATTTCTTTCTTTTTTTTCTTTTTTCTTTTTCTTTCTTTCTCTCTCTTTCTCCCTTCCTTCCTTCCTTCCCTCCCTCCCTCCTTTCTTCCCTCCTTCCCTCCCTCCCTCCCTGCCTCCCTTCCTTCCCTCCCTCCCTTCCTTCTCTCCCTCCTTCTCTCTCTGTCTCTCTCTTTCTCTCTCTCTCTCTCTCTCTCTTTCTCTTCAGCGTCTTGCTTTGTCATCCAGGCTGGAGTGCAGTGGTACAGTATTGATTAATTGCAACCTTGACCTCTCAGGCTCAAGTGATTGATTTTCCCACTTCAACCTCTGGAATAGCTGGGACTGCAGGCATGCATCAGTATGCCTGTCTAATGTTTTTGTTTTTGGTAGAGACAGGGGTAGAGACAGGGTTTTGCCATGTTGGCCAGGCTGATCTCAAACTTTTGAGCTAAAGCGATCCACCTGCCTTGACCTCCCAAAGTGCTGGGATTATAGACGTGAGCCATTGCACCTGGACTTGGTGGGTCATTTCTATAAGACTTCAGTTTTAGTTTAACTGAAATTTTTAAAAATTTTCTCTGCCGGGCACGGTGGCTCAAGCCTGTAATCCCAGCACTTTGGGAGGCCGAGGCGGGTGGATCACGAGGTCAAGAGATCGAGACCATCCTGGTCAACATGGTGAAACCCCGTCTCTACTAAAAATACAAAACATTAGCTGGGCATGGTGGCGCGTGCCTGTAATCCCAGCTACTCAGGAGGCTGAGGCAGAAGAATTGCCTGAACCCAGGAGGCGGAGGTTGCGGTGAGCCGAGATTGTGCCATTGCACTCCAGCCTGGGTAGCATGAGTGAAACTCCGTCTCAAAAAAAAAAAAAAAAAAAAATTCCATTTTCTCATCTTCTGTGATTCCTTTGAGACGGTTGTTAGATAAATCCTCCTAGATTTATCCTCCATGTCTTTCTTAATTTTTTCCAAAAAAGAAAAGTCTCCCTGCCTTTTTGCTTAATTTTCTAGATTTCCTCAAATTTTCAGATCATGAATTGGCATCTTAAATTATTCCATTATTCAACCCCTCTGTTAAATTTTAAAATCTTGGCCAGACATGATGACTCATGCCTGTAATCCCAGCACTCTGGGAGGTTGAGGCAAGTGGATTGCTTGGGGTCAGGAGTTGGAAAGCAGCCTGGACAACATGGTGGAACCCCATCTCTATTGAAAATACAAAAAAATTAGCCGGGCATGGTCGCGGGCACCTGTGATCCTAGTTAGTTGGGAGGCTGAGGCAGGAGAATCACTTGAACCTGGGAGATGGAGGTTGCAGTGAGCCGAGATTGTGCCACTGCACTCCAGCCTGGGTGACAGAATGAGACTCCATCTCATAAAAGAAAAAAAATTAAAATATTTGTTGTAGTTTCCTACCCTGCTACCCCAAGACTCTTGTTTGCTGGTTGCCCTTTTTGAGTTTCTTTTGTTTGAAGGACATGGTATCCATCTTTATTCTGTGCGTATTAATTAATTAATTAATTAGGCTTTTTGCTGAATCTGCATTTCAACCAGATGTGTAAGTGACTTGCCCCACACCCAGGCCATTCCTCGCTCCAGGCAGGTTACTTACCTGATGTAGTTTTGTGCTGAAGGGGCATCTTCCTACAGCCCATGTCTCTGTCCCGGGGTCCTTTTCTTAGCATGAAGTCTCACTCAGCCCAGCCCAGGCCGCATTTCATGCTCGTTATACCCTGGGATTCGCAGAGAACCTCCCTGCTCTCAAGTGTCACCCCGGAAGTGAGAGGAGTGACCAAAGTAGTTTAGGAAGGTTTCCACGGGATTCTGAGCATTGTCATATGTAGCTTACATTGTTAGGTAAAATTTACATGCAATGAAATGCACAGATCTGAAATATACCATTGAATGTTTTGACAAGTGTGTATGCCTGTGTGACCAGCTCCTCCAGTGACGATACGATATTCCTGGTACCCACAAAAGCTCCCTTATGCTTCTTTGGAAATGTGAAAATAAAAAAACTTGGGACCCTGATTCACTGTGCCAAAAGGAAAAAATTAAGGTGAGAGTTGAGTCATGCAAGAAGCTGCCTTTTCTTTTGTTCTTAAGCAGAGAGCTACAGATGGCGAAAGATTCCCACAGGTAGCTGCTCTGTGTTCACCTTATCAAGTGCTAATTTACTGAGTGCCAGAAGACATCATTCACTCTTCCCTACCTGTTCCTTTTCGCTTGCAACTTGTGGATTCTGTAATATGACTATACCCTTTCTCTTTCCCTTTCAGCACGCTTTTTCCATTTAAATATTGAAGCCCTCGGCCAGGCATGGTTGCTCACGCCTGTAATCCTAGCACTTTGGGAGGCAGAGGTGGGCAGATTGCCTGAGCTCAGGAGTTCAAGACCAGCCTGGGCAATGTGGTGAAACCCCATCCCTACTAAAATACAGAAAAAAAAAAAAATTAGCTGGACGTGATGGTGCGCACCTGTAGTCCCAGCTACTTGGGAGGCTGAGGCAGGAGAATCGCTTGAACCCGGGAGGCAGAGGTTGCAGTGAGCCAATATAGCACCACTGCACTCCAGCCTGGGCAACAGAGTGAGACTCCGCCCCTACCCAATAAATAAATATTGAAGCCCTCAAAATCATTTTTGCAGAAAGGCACAGACCTGTTTTTGGCACATTGTCTTTAACCATGGCACTTTTTTTTTTGGTTTTGAGATAAGGTCTCCCTCTGTCACCCAGGCTGGAGTGCAGTGGCTTGATTGCACCCTCTGCCTCACTGCAACCTCCACCTTCCAGGTTCAAGCGATTCTCCTGCCTCAGCCTCCAAAGTAGCTGGGACTACAGGCGCTTGCCACCACACCTGGCAAGTTTTTGTATTTTTATTAGAGACGGGGTTTCACCATGTTGGGCAGGCTGGTCTCAAACTTCTGGGCTGAAGTGATCTGCCCACCTTGGCCTCCCAAAGTGCTCGGATTACAGGCATGGACCACCGCGCCTGGCCAAAATAAACTTCTAAATCAATTGTGGCCCATCTCAGATACTTTTTGGTTTACATAATCAATCTCCAACCTCCACTTCCTGAGGCAACTACTGCTTTCTTTCACTGTATTTTGGCCTATTCCTGAACTGCTTTGAAATGGAATCATATGGTATGTTTCCATAATGTGAAATCCACCCATGTTGTTGTATTCATAGTTGGTGTTTTTTTTTTTTTTTTTTTTGCTGAGTAGTGCATTCTGTTTTCTGAATGTAGCATGTTTACCTCCTTTGAACATGTGGCTCTTTCTAGTTTTTGCCTGTCACGAACATTCTAGTATATCGTTCCTCTTGGCTAAATACATAGGAGAAGAATTCTGGGTCATGTGGCAGGGTAGTGTGCATTTTTGTTTTTCTCTACAAAGCCACAGGTAGGTGTGCCTCACACTGCCTGGCCTGCAGGGGGTGCTGTGAGGCTACAGAGGGGGCAGTGGACTTGAAGGTAGAGGAGCCTGGGGCCACCTTGAGTTCCAGGTCTTCACCCCTAGGGGCCGCCAGCTGCCTGTCTCCCCACCTGAAGGACCTGCAGTGGCCTCCTTCCTCCCGAACACCTTTGCAGCAGCAGCTGAGCACGTGGTCTCCTTGCAGCCTTCAGTGATCCCCTTGGCCTGAGTCACGATCATGTCCCCACGGCTCAGCAGACCCTCCCAGCCTGTCTCCCAGGCTGGGCTTGGGGCTCCACGCTTCCCCCCTATAGACCCCCTTCCGGCCCCTCATGGGTCAGTTTGGGGCCTGGCTTTTCTCTCATGGAGGCAGCCCCTCCCCTGCCAGGATTGCTGGACTCTCCAGTGAGAGTAGGGCCTTCCCTGGTGGAAAGACCTGCAAGGCCTGCGTGTGGGCACTCCAGGCCTTATGCTTAGGTTGTCAGTGGAGGGAGACACTCCAGGCCCCAGAGGGAAACAGCCCCTAGGCTCCTCCTATGCCCACCCTGCTCAGCCTATATGCCAGCCTGACTCAGGCCTTTGGAGGCCCTGAGCCCTGAGGAGATGACACCCCCTGCCCTCCTCACCTCCACCGGAGTGAACCTCAGTGAGGATCAATACTAAACTGCAGGCCAGGCACGGTGGCTCACACCTGTAATCCCAGCACCCTGAGAAGCTGAGGCGGGTGGATCACCTGAGATCAGGAGTTCGAGACCAGCCTGGCCAACATGGTGAAACCCCATCTCTACTATATAAAAAATTAGCCAGGCGTGGTGTCACGTGCCTGTAGTCCCAACTACTCCAGAGGCTGAGGCCGGAGAATTGCTTGAACCCGGGAGGCAGAGGCTGCAGTGAGCTGAGATTGTGCCATTGCACTCCAACCTGGGCATCGAGAGTGAAACTCAGTTTCAAAAAAAAAAAAAATTACTAAACTGCGAGGAAGGCCAACAAACTTATTTTTCTCATAACAATTGCTTGGATGCTTTTTTAAAAAAGTAAAATTAAATAAAATCAGTGTGAACAAAATGATCCTTTTGTTTTCTGGTTTCTCATCTTCCTCTGCACCCCCCCCACACCCCCCCTCTACCGGCTGGTCGGGGTTGCTAGCTGGCAATACTTACACATCAGGCCCTTGGTGCCCAGTATCCTGGGAGCACTTCCAGGAGCCCTGGCTCCCAGGCCCTGCCTGGCCTCGCCCTCTGCACCTGACAGTCAGTAACTTTTGTTGACTGAACAAAATAATGCTTACATCAACTTTAGGCTTTTAGAATCTATTAATCTATTCTTTTCCAAGCAAAGGTGGTAATTAAAATGGAAAAGAAAACCATTCTAGAAAGAAGACAAGGCAGAGAGTGGAAACATTGCTGTACAATCCACTGCCGTTTCAGACACCAGGAGCCTCCGCCAAGTCATTTCTTTCCCTTTGCTGGCTCCGGTGGCTTGGCAGCTTCCAGTGGCTTGGCGGGCTCTGGTTCCTTGCCCTGCTGGGGTCCTTTTTCCTTTCCTGGAGGAGGAACCAGCATATGCTTTTTGGCCCTCTTGCCTCTGAAGTGGTTTCTTTGAAGACACACATCGATAAAAGCAAAAAATGCAGCCAAACCCATAAGGATCTGGAAAACAAAAGGTCCTCGTGACTCCTGCTTTCCATTCTCAAGGTGGCCAGTTTCCCTCCTGCTCTCTCGTTTATCAGCGGGTGCTGTTTCACATGTCCCCTGTGTCCCCTCGAAGGACGAGCAGTCCCGAGAGGCGTGGAGCCTGTCTACTCCCTCACCTCTGCCTTCTCCACTGCCTCGTACTGCCTTCTCACCTCTGTTACTTTTTTCTCTTTAAACCCAGCCAGGGTGGGACCGTTTGCTCTGGGTCGGAGCTTGGGCTGGCTCCCCGGACATCATCTTTATTTAAATGGTGGCTCCATTGGAAACATCTGTCTATTTTACTTTTTTTGTTTGTTTTTGAGACTAAGTCTCGCTCTGTTGTCCAGGCTGGAGTGTAGTGGTGCAGTCTCTGCTCACTGCCACCTCCACCTCCTGGGTTCAGGTGATTCTCCTGCTTCAGCCTCCCAGGTAGCTGGGATTACAGCCATGCACCATCATGCCTCGCTAATTTTTGTATTTTAGTAGAAAATACATTTTCTACTAAATTTTGTAAATTTTGTGTTTTTATAAATTTTGTATTTTTGTATTTCACCATTGTTGGCCAGGCTGTTCTCAAATTCTTGACCTCAAGTGATCCGCCTGCCTCGGCCTCCCAAAGTGCTAGGATTAAAAGCATGATCACTATGCCTGGCCTACTTAACTTTTAAACTTTGACTTGATCCCAAGATTTTTGTGAAAAATAAAGAAGCCCTTTCCTTAAACAGGGGACAACACCTATCCTCCAAAAGAGGTGAATTCAGAGCAAATGCACGGCCCAGCATGGAAAGACTCACCACACCAAGTAAGTAGTGGAGATGCATGGACTGCCGACTTCTCACAGCAAAGACCATGGCTCCCACAAGAAACGCAAAGGAGAACAGGTCATTGAAGAGGTCCTGAGGGTGGAGAGGTGAGTCAGCGTCAGACAAAGCCAGGGCCCCTGTCAACAAACACTGCACCCTGGCTAGCTTCCTCCAAAGGAATGATTTGCAAACTTCCACCTGATTTAAAAATGTATGCATAAAGATAAATGCACACTGGGCTAGGTGGGCAGATCTGTGACCCTCCTGCTGGGCTTTTTAAATCGAAACCTAAAATGTCCAGGATGCTTAAATGCCCTTGTACTGAAGCCTGTGAAGTCACCAGCACCCTCTTCTACCATCTCTGTGAAATCACACATTTGGTTTCTGCTTATGTCTCCTCCCACCAATACTCCTATTCTTTTTTATTTTTTGAGACAGGGTCTTACTCCGATTACCCAAGCTGGAGTGCAGTGGTATAATTTCTGCTCACTGCAGCCTCGACCTCCCCAGGCTCAGTTGATTCTCCCACCTCGGCTTCCTGAGTAGCAGCAACTACAAGTGAGTGCCACCATGCCCAGCTAAGTGTGTGTGTTTAGTAGAGATGGGGTTTCACAATGTTACCCAGGCTGGTCTCAAACTCTTGGACTCAAGCAATCCACCTGCCTCGGCCTCCCAAAGTGCTGGGATTACAGGCATGAGGCAAAGTGCCTGGCCAATACCCATTTAAATAAATATACAACTATGAAATGTCATGATGTCCCTCTTAAGGACCCCAGCACTGCCTTTCAGCTTCCAGGGCCAGCTCCCCTTTCTGGAGTCTGGATGGGCTGCATTGGCTCTGATGGACTATAGCGTGTCATTGGGAGCCTGGCAGCTTCCTTTGCAACCCCCTGTCCTTGGCCTGACTTCCTAGACCCCTTCCTCTCCTTGCCTCCTCTTCCTTCATCAACCCTCCTGCCCATCCCCTGTGACTTCAATCTCGCCCTCCCCATATGCTTGTTTCCCTCACGCTACTGACAAGGCGTTGCCAGACTCCTCAGAGCTGGCCAAAAGCAGGCTGGCTTCCTCCTGCATCACTCCTGGGGCTAGACGATGGGGTGGGAAGCAGCTGATCATGCAGCTCCGGAAGACACCTGCCATTTCCCTTGGTTTCTATAATGGCATTTCCTGCTATTGTCTTTCCCTGGCCACTTTGTTTCAGGCATTTTCCTTTTTAATGTTTTGAATTTTGATCCATTTCAAATACCCAGAAAATAATAGAACATCCTACCCCCACTCCCACCTCCACCAGGCCAGGAGCCACTGAAATTTAACAGATGTTAACATCTTGCAAATGTCCCCTGTAGGCCTCTTTGGAAACAAGAAGTCCAGCTTCATGGATGGAGGTGCGGCCCCTTCACTTCCCTCCCTGTTACTGTTCCTCTCACCTCCCTCCTCCAACTTTTGTCCTCCCAAAGACAGTCACACATTGGAAGCTGATGCGCAGTTTACCCACCTAAATTTGTGCGTTTCTACATATTATATATTCATAAACAATGTACACTATTTTATGTCTGTCTGTCTTTCTTTCTTTCTTTCTTTCTTTCTTTCTTTCT